CAACATGATTACTACAAAGTGAGTTGATAATCGACCTTAAATATTAAATATTTTCGTAACCGAGTAATTTAACAGAATGATAAATGTTAAAAATATTAAATTTTTTATTTTAAATTATTGGCACATGTCATTACAAGCAACTTCCGCGTCTTAACCAAAGAGAACTTAAGCACTACGTCTTAACCACGTTGTTACCACGTCCCATACTTGTCAATCTGAGACATAATCAGTGTCCAAAGTGTCAAGCTTGATTGACGTGTTATACTTATATATTTCCATAGAGTTCTTTCTCTAATTTTTATATACTAGAAACAAATAATTAGAGTTTTTATAGAATGTAAAGGGGTCGTTCTCATGAAAACGATTCTCATTGTCATTTTCGTGTCGAATTAATTTTTATTGTTTTAAAAAATTATATCGCGTCACGGTGTCACGGAGATTGGAAGTAAATTTAAGACATTGGAATCCAAAGGTAACTTTCTGCGAATGCGACTTTTGTCTCTGCGGAAATTACGCAATAAATTTCCTATTCAAAAATAAGCACAGTATTTTGAAAGAATTCTTTGGACCGCGTATTTCAAAAAGGCTTGGGACGCATTGTTCTTACGAATTTCAATTTTCAGGCGTGGTTTATGTTTAAATAAGAGGATGATGGATCGATATCCATCATTCTCCGATGAGAATAGGCGCTAGATCGTCATTAACATTACATTATTTATATTACTTACACTACTTACATAATTTACATTCGTACTAACCACATTCAATCGCATTTAAAACATTTGATACTTATATAATTTTAGAGTTATATGGTATTTGCGTGTGATGCACTTTGGTGGCATGGCTTACTGAGTTGCGATCGCTCACCATAAGGGTATTGACAGAAAACCAGCACTGTTTGACTTTTCACGGTCTACAATATTTATGCTGAGTCAGGGCCATTTCAGCGCAAACTATTGCAAATAGTTATGACCAGTACAAAAGTTTGTTTTTATATAAACGCATGTGTTTATATCGTTCTGTTCTATTTGCTTTTGTGTTATACCTTGTGAAGTGATTGTAAATGTTTGTTTCTGCTTGTATTTGTGTTGACTAAACGTTTTACCTATCTATCTGTTTAAGTCCATTGTCACATGCAAGATCTGTCCCGTGCTTGTGACAGTCAATTAACGATGAATTTGCCCTATGGCAAGCTTTTCCGTATATTAGGTGGACTATTCTGTGTAGTTCTCTGTACATTGACCAACAAGTCTGGAGTCCGTTCATAACTGGACAGTCATGGCTTAAAGGGCAAGAGTTCTGAAGTTAAAGGAGTCGCGTAACTACGCGACATTGTTGGAACTAAATATAGATTTTTAGGTAAAATGTTAAAAAAGGAATTTTAAAAATATTTTGCATATGTATAATATATTCCATAATGTAAGATCTATTGTCGTGTGACCTCTTTTTTCGGTCTTGCACGAGAATGACCAAAAGAAACTTTGAAAAGTTTAATAATACTGATGTTACAAACCGACTGTATCTTACATACTCGTAACTATATTACCGAATCACAATAAAACAGATATATGTCTTATTTAAAGCTCGTTCCATTTACTTTATATGCCTACAAAGATCGTTGTCGTTAATAGGTGGTAATTAAACAAAGAATAATTGCTTCAGTTTGGAATGGGCTCTTCGGCTTCGCAATTCTAGATGTCGCAATTTTCCCAGTAGTAGATATTACTAATAGCGGTAGTGGAGATCAGATTATCTCTCATCATGGGAGCTTAGATTGCAATGATATTATATTTTGAATGAAATAATTTTACGTAACTTACAAGACAGTGATAATGTCATTCAAAATCCTGATAAAATAAACATTAAATTGAATTACATTTATATTACATTATAAATCATCAAAAGCAGATTTTTCATTTCAGATGATTTTAAACAGCCACTGACTACAATATAAATACAAAACTTACATTCATAAAAGAAATTAGCAACGATTCAGAGATTGTGAGAGATTTGAATTAAGAGATGAATGATGTCCTTGACATTGATAGCACTCCGAGAAGATCGGCACAACCACCTCAAAAGCATAAATAATCTAAAGCAAACTGTTCACAGTGACAAGCTTCTCCAAAAAGGAGAAACCATCATGCATGGTTAATAGTTGACAAGCGTACCGACACAGGGAGATTGTTTTTTTGTCCTATAAATCGCTGTTTCCTCGAAAACATGTTTTTCAATTTTCTTTGCGCGAGGTTAAAGAAGATGTACTTATTCATCGTTTAGTTTAGGTAAAAGTATTGCCTTGGCACCATATGGGTTTTGTGTTATGCTTTTTATAGCATTTTAGTACTCAGAGCAATTGTGCGTTATTACCAGATTTTATTATAGGCGACTAGTCGGCCCTACACTTTATTGCTCGTCGTCTTACAGAACTACAGAGGTCGTTAAGATATCATAAACAACTTTCTTTTCTAATATATATTTAACATAGGTGCTAATTTGCGCAATTATATTCAGGCAACCTTCGATTTGTAAATGATAAATAATGATGATAAATGAAATTTTAAGCAAATGTATTAATTTTAAGAAAATTTCGGTGGAAAATTAGGTGTTTTCAAAATGTTTATACCTTATTTCGTTTCGGAATTATGATCCCCTATTATAAAGTGGTTCAAAGATAGTCAAGCTCCGGCTAAATTTTTGTTCATGCCGATTTTGGTCGTTGTTACAAAGTAATGGTTGTGCTTAGAGTCAGCAATTTAAAGCAATGGCGCCGACAAATGCTATGGTCTCGTCTTCATGACATTGCAAAGGATCGAAGACTCGATGTCTAAGTCTAAGACCCGGCAAAACTATTCCTTAGACATTTTCTTTTCTAATTGTAAAAATGAAAAAAATAACTAATTCGACATAGTAAATTATTGGTAAAAAATGGTTTAAAAAAGTTTATTTAGTTTTTTATTATAAGCCCGTATTTTCCCATTGCTTGATCATGAGCAACATCTGGCCAGTCCTTTAAAAATTTTTCTTTATTTAGTTACTTATGAAATAATACTTGAACTAAAAATACACATAGTTGTCTAAGTATTTCATTTATTTACCAACAAGGCCAAGTATTATCTTATTATATTATATTATATTAAGTATAAAGACAAAGTCATTATATTTAATTGTAATTTTGACACTGATAATGTGAAATAAATGATTTATTCCACGTTGTTCCCTACTGTTCTGTTCTGTTCCACTCTGCACTACTACTACTCTTGTTCTTTTTTTTATGATACCAAGTGACGAGACGAACAAGTCGTGCGCCTGGTGGTAAGCGACACGCTCAGTTGCAGTACAACTCAGAGCTTTAAATCACAAAGATCTGAGGAGCACTGCTGCTGCTTCTGGTGAAATTACATGTGCTTGTAATTTCACCCGAACCCTTACCATTCAAAACCGAAACGCAGGAAAGCTCATATTACTGTTTGGCGTCAGAAATAGGTAAGATGGCAGTACTTCCTTGAACGAACTTTACTAAGGTACTTTCATAAGGAGCTCTACTGAAAGAGAGATAGAGATAGTGGCTACTTAAAATGTTCTCGTTCTACGTTCTTAGCCAGATAAGTAGTAAGATATGTACTAAAGCTTGTGACGGTGTGACCCTGGATGGAATATATAAATATGGAACTATTCAAAATTTAAATTTAAATACGAGTGGCCAGGAACCGAAGAAAGGCGATAAAAAGGTGGAATGAAGATGTAAGGAGGTCACACCGTCACAAACTATTACATTCAAAGCATTATATTTAAGGCCTATATTAAATAGCACCGAACTAATTTTTTATAATAATAACGCACACCATTACTATTTTATTTATTTCCATATATTATATATTTCTCCCGGTCCAGCCTCTGCGTGGCAGTCCAACATGGTAACCGTTCGGTCACGGAGGCAATTAAAGTTGGCATATAACATTCTTGTATTTTAAATATAATTTATTATTTTTAGTACCATTTATTTTTATATCTAATTACAAAATTTGAGTATATCGATATAAAAGTAAAGTTGTGTAGTAATATAGGAACGAAATACCAATTATCAGACATTCATTTCAGCTAATAATACATATATATCATAAGTAAATTATTTGTTTCAAGAAACAGTTAGATACTTTATTAATCATAGTAATTTCAAGAAGTGGCTGCGGCGCTACCGCATAGATAGGCTAACTAGAATTAGTTGTTTTCCTTCCTTTGTCGGGGAACGAGAGAAGCAGGCAAAACTTTGCTAATCACCGTTCGAACAGACACTCGTTTAAGAATAAATTACAAGAAGGAAGTTTCGTGGAAGTAATTAAGTTACCGGAGTGAAGGCGCCACTTACTAAACCCCAATACTTCGACATCAGAGAAATTCTTATAACCAAATGACTATAGCTACGGACTATAAGATTCTTAATATTATCTGAGTACCTTTTGCATAGCCAGCATATTTCTTTTTAATACTTGAAAGAGCCGCTTCAGTAGTGTTAAACTTGAAAGTATTGAATGCAAGTGAATAGTAGGTACTTTTTCGTCTAATGTCAAAGTAGTACATCCTTCTTCACTTAGAAATATGCTGTGTTAGAAGGTCCATTTTAAGGGTTTGTAATTTATATTCCAAAAAGTGAAGTTTTTCTTTTTGATAAAACGTTGTCATTACGTTGTGCAACTCAACAGAACGATTTAAGTCAAATTTAAGTTCTACACCTAACAGAACTACAACGGTAGATGTGGTCATAGTAATACACAAAACAATATTGTATTTCTACCCATAGTCATATGGAAAACATAAGTTTTTAATAAAATCGTAAAATATTATCGCTTGCAAATGAATCAATAGCGATAAGGAGACTGTAGAGTTGTGAGTTGCGATCAAAAACGAAATCACCTGTCGCGTACACGATCAACAGGAAGCGAATCCGGGCGAGGCTCGCAGGAGCAGTCTGCGAGAGTACGAGGACGGCAGTCGCCGCCCAGCCGCCCTACGCGAGAGCTGTTTGCGGCGCCCAATTCAGCCCGCCCGCGCTGCGCCGACCACTGACCACGCTCCACATATTTTGTATACTTATCACATCCCCGAGCGTGTATGAGACGTTTATTTGAAGCGATGACCAATAAGTTGGGTAAAAGAATCGAGAAAGTTTGAAGTGTACTAAGTGCTAACGGGTACCGAAGGACTCCCTGACGTTGAAAGCTTTTTTCGCTTCAGTCGAGGTAAGTTTGTGAATTTACGATTATTTTGTTTATATTCTTTATGTCTTATGCGAGGTTTTTCACTGGTTTCTTATGTATTTTTAAGTAGTATGCTATGCTTAATTATTTATATTAATTATATATTTTGTTATTTCATTCGAGTCTCATTGTTTTGTGTTTTTACACGGACTCCCCTTTCAGGAAATGTGTTCAGAATTTGTAACAGTTGTGATAAAAATAAATGTAAGCAACGCATATAGATATTTGCATCAAAAAATCATAACAAATAATAATTATCATATGTAAGGATTACATTTCTTTGCAATTTCTTTTGAAAGGGTTCAATGTCTACATGATTTTAAAGTAACTAAATATTTATAGAACTGTAAGCTCTGATTGGAACCTTTTAGAGTTTTAGAGTTTCGTTTAAACAAGAAGTTTGTTAAAAGGAGTGCTACCACTGCGCACTGCCATCGTGCCGTTCGCTCACAGAGTCGTCGCGTTAATGTTTAAGTTTAGTATTCCACGCAGGAGTTTCGTCTTGTTTGATTAAGTGTAACCAAGCTCTGCTCAGACTCATAAAATGATAATTTGGAGCTCTAAAGTTCCGAAGCTCGACAACGCGTAGTCTCACACTCAATTATCGGAATTAGCATCATGTTACCCGCTATATTTGGGGCGTAGAGAAGACTTGATTTAAATTCCCATTTGACGATCAATTTTGTTTTTATTTATTTACACAGAACTGCTTGAGGCAAGTTTATCTTGCAATCTCTTGCGCGATGAAGATGAAGGTGCCCTCGGGTGATCTGTGCACTACGAATCTTAATACGCTATGAAATTTTTTTATTGTGATTCATATTCTAAAATCGAAGTGTAATATGAGTAGGTATCTACTTATACCTGAATGTGTAGTGCAAAACTCGAAACGATTAAATTAAAGACCAATGGAACTTTAGGTATCTAAATAAATAGCTTTGAAATCAAACAGGCTAATAGGGAGTCTTTTTTAAGTCGATAAATTTTACTCAGGCAACTACTCTAATGAATAAAAACTTGTAAAAGGTGCGCAGTTACACCAGATCGTCGATTCTATCGTGAAAGCCGATGTAATCGTGTAACAAGGAATATAAATATACTTTGAAAGATTTCGTTTACAAATTTCGATGATTTTTCCATTTCATTTAATTAAAAATTACCAATTCAAATAATTTATTTCTACAATGACTTAAAATAAATATTATGTGTACGGCTTGCAAAGCTAAGGTAAGAAAAAGAAAGCGTAGTAAGTAGTAACGATACTATGGATACGTGCGGGGGTGAAGGGCGGCAAAAGGGCAACATATTTATATATATGTACAGGGTGTCCCAAAACTCAACGTCAAGCGGTCACTGGGCGAGAGGCCAGGTTATATCAGTTCTGGTAAAAATTAAAAAAAAATCCATGTCACTTAGTTAAGTGATAATAGGCATTTTTTTGAAAATGTTGAAAATCGATACCCATCACATATTTTCAAATTTTGGAGTGATTTTTTTTTAACGTCATCATAAATAACAATGCTATTTATTGCAGTCACAAATCAAACAATAAACGTTATAAGTTTAGTAAAAAAAAATAAGTTTGATTGAGTAGTAGCTTAAAAAAAATATGTCAGATAGCTTTGACACTTCATATTAAAAAAAAAAAATGTACTACACTATCCTGGGCAAGTTATTTTAAAAGATGGCCCATATAATCAAGATTTCAAAATGGTACAATACTTGCCACTCTTCATTCCATAAAAACTATTATAACTTATTTTTTGCAAAAGGAGCTCGTTTCAAAACATGATAAATAATACTTTTGTGTGCTCAAAGATTGGCTTTAACATCGCGGAAGTGAGATGGTCATATGTGATAGAGTGAGATGGATAATGACAACGCATGAAACAAAATAATCTACCCTAACACATGTGAGTGTGTCAACTTAATAATTAGTCGATTGTTGTATTATAATAAATTTTAATCAAAATGAAACGAAAGGAACTATTGTAATATTTTAATGTTAAAGTAAATGCTCAAATTGTTTGCTTTCGGCACGAATACAGGCTCTGCATCGCCTCACAAAAGATCTTTTTATCAATCGTGCGAATCTTCTCAAACTAATTACTTCTGCTGCTTCAACAATTTTGTGGCGTAATTGGGCTAGATTTTCTATAGGTTTTGCTTATACTTTTTCCTTTATGCAGCCCCAGTAAAAAAAAATCAAGGGGGTTTAGGTCCGGAGATCGAGGAGGCCACAAAATTGAACCAAGGCGCCCAATCCACCTTCCGGAATATTCCGTGTTTAAATAATCACGTACAGAACGAGTGCTGGGATCATTTCGAATTTCTTCTAAAATTACGTCGTCGTCGTCTCCTTGAGGTCTTCCACCGCTCGTACGAGCACTAGGCAATCGTCCTTCCGAGTATGCCAGGTGTGCATTGACGAACACGCGGTGATCTGGGTGACGCTTTAAGTTTGGGTACCTCTCGCGATATAATCTGGCTGCGGCAGAAGCATTACAATGGCATTCACCGTAAATAAGATGCATGTTTGCATATTCTTCCGCTGTGTACAGATACGGCACGTCGCGAAACGTGTTAATTTTGCTAAGTACTAACTAATACAGTTTACACAACACAAATCGAGTCCAGGGAATAAGCCAGAGTCGTCAACACAGATGCAATATCAAGTCCAGGGTAACACAAGCCAAAGTCGTCAGTACAAAAGTTACACGATTACGAGAAGATGCACTCATAACGTTTATTGTTTGATTTGTGACTGTAATAAATAGCATGGTTATTTATGATGACGTTAAAAAAAATCACTCCAAAATTTGAAAATTTGTGATGACAGTACCTAAACATGTGGTCTAGGGTATCGATTTTCAACATTTTCAAAAAAATGCCTATTATCACTTAACTAAGTGACATGGATTTTTTTTTAATTTTTACCAGAACTGATATAACCTGGCCTCTCGCCCAGTGACCGCTTGACGTTGAGTTTTGGGACACCCTGTATATACTATCCTACATATACTATGTATATATAAAGAGAAAGACTGAAATACTCGTTTTGTACATAAGTTTAAAAACGGTCATATAAATACAAAAATCCATTCCCTTTGACATTTCTCCTCTCCATAAATTACTGGAAATTTGAACAATATAATATTGATAACGATCAATATTATATTGTAAAGTTACGATAAAAATAGAAAAAAACTATTAAAGTGTTCTATGAACTTCCAGGAAAATATAAATATATTATATATATTAATTTTAAGAAGAATCCATAAATATTATTTCCATCGGTCTGCCTTAATAAATTGAGGTATAGTGTAATAAGCTATTTTGTAATAACAACATTTTCACTTTTTTTTTTTTTAAAAGGAAACACGTTTTTACCCGGGAAATCTCACCACGCAACGCTTAGCTTCTTCGCTTGACTGTTTTTTTCTGACGAGGCAAGCAGCTGCTATCGCTGAGTTCTTTTGTCGTAGCAATATACCGTTTGTGATTACTAAACAACTGTCTCTTTCACTCCTGCGAAAAAACGAGTATTTTCCCTATGGTTTCAGTGACGTTAATTTAAAAATCAGGTCAAAGCGTTGATATCGAGTTATGAGAAGCAGTAATTAGTAGTGCACAGGTGCAAGTGAGGAAGGATATTTTTTATCACTGTAGTAGAGTAGCGTGACGACCTGAAATTGGCAATATTTTTTTCTATAATGATTATGACACTAGACTACTTTGTGTCTGTATTATGTTAAAATTAACAAAGATGGGGTAATTATTTATGCGTGCTAGTGTTTTCGTTTTTCAAAATCATTAAAAACAAAGCGACCGTGTGCTATTTTTGGTATTTTCGTTGGTTAAGTTATTAGTAGGCCAGTAAATATAATCTTATTTTTGCACAAATGACTTTCCGAGATATTTCGAGATAGTTTTTTTTAAATCCTCACTGCGGGTGCCAATATTACACCTACTTGGCTCCTAAATACGGAAAGAGTCAACATGAGCACGAGTTTTAGTTGGTTATACAATTCATCAACACGTTCGACTGGGTTTGCAAAGCAGTCAAAGAAACAAACGAAGTACTTTGTATTCTTAATCTGCTCATAGTTCAGTCAGTTGCAGCGGTTGAGGTAGTTCGAGAAGCGGACATAGGTGATTCGCATAGTGTTAGGTGTATTTACCCACTTCACAAGTATATTGGTATATGTACATTTTGGACAGCCACTATACTATCAGAACGTAGCTACGTGTGGTGTGTGTGTTTCTACAACAACGTAATTCTGCGTTCAAATACAGTTTGTACAGAAGGCTAGGTGTATGTGTTTATATTAACTGTGTGTGTATATACAAATTATCACCTTTATGGATATATAATTGTAGCGGACTGTATCAATGGGTGAAGGGATGGATGCTAACAACGAGTGAGCAAGGCCAAGAGAATGTACTTACAGTTTATTAATATTTTGGAAAACACGTTGTCGCTATCAAAGCAAAACAGAAAAACTAGCAAGAGCAAAAGTCAAGAAAAAGGCGCCAAAAACAAACACATTTAAATTTAGAGTTTAAATAGAAAATTAAAATTTAAAGAGACTATTATAAAATGTATAGAAAAAGATTTGTAGCGATTCGCTACATCGTCCGGTCGGAGAAAAGGATGGGACCACCTATACAGAGTCTGTAATAATAATAATAATCTAGGATAATTGATACCTTAGCGTCGAAGGGAATGTTAATGGCTGCTGACACACGACCGGCCATTCTTAGGAGTTGGTCTTCACCAATCACTGGGGACAATTTTGTTAGACGACTGCCTTTCTTTAAGGGTTGTGAGGAGATCATTAGTTCCCATTCTTCTTTAAAGAGATCCAGTTGAGATCTCCCAATAGAGGGCTTAGAGGGGCTATTAATATTATTAGCTAATATTTTAGCAGCTGAAGCTGTGTCGGCAACGGCCTTAAGTATGATAGGTAGGTTGTCTGCTG